CATTTTTGTCTTCGCTCAGGAAGGATGGCTCCAGAGCAGACTAATGTATGCAGCAGCCAAATCGCTCACTCACAGCCAGTGTTCCCTCTAAGCTGAGTTAGTGTGAGCTAGCTCATTTTTTTTAGCCTCCGGCTCACACATTTTTGTCTCAGCTGAGGAAGGATGGCTCCAGAGCCAACTAAGTTATGCAGCAGCCAAGTCGCTTGCTCACAACTTTAGTGCCAGTAGTTCCCAAAGTAGAATTTTTGCTCACAAGACTCCACAACTTAGAGGGAACATTGTCACAGCTTTAATGCTAGTAGCACACAAAGTAGAATTTTTGCTCACAAGACTCCACAGCTTAGAGGGAACATTGACGCTGACACACCAGCTCTGCACCCCCCCCCCGAATGATTACCGCTACCTTCAAAACCAAAGGTACTTTTTTCTGCCCGGGAAGTGAAGTGTGACAGAACTGCTCCTGTATTTTTTTGGAGTTTCAGGTTGGACCAGGGGCATGTCAGATGTGCTAAGCAGCTATTGGCTTGCGTCCATAACATCACCAATATAGCTTCGTCTTGCCATGTAAAGCAATTTTACAGTTACTATGATTTGGGGGAGTGTACACACATTTGCATGCATGCACACAGAGGCACACAGACACGTGAGACTCTTTGAAAAAGTAACTAGGCCTCCCCCTGCTTGATATACAAGGGGAGAAGCAAGATCTGAAGGCTCATCCAGTGTCTGACTTGTTACTGCGTATGTGTTTAAGGCCGGTTGCAAAGCCACATGCATAAGGCAAAATGAAAACCTCCTTGTGAACCCTTAAGAAACCTACACTGTAAGGTCCTGGAGGACCAGCACTGTGTATATGACCTGCAGCGTAGGTTCCGGCAGATACAACCTAGGAAAAACCATGGTGTATGGTCTATTCTAGCTCTCAATACAGACATAAAAAAGTGTATTGCATTAATGGCTAGTTATAGAGGAAAGGATCCCCACACAGCCTTTCACATGTACTCTTACTATGGGGAGGGCCCCCCCACAGAGCAGTCTCCCTCGTGCCCCTGAAATGAGGGCTTCTGGAGTTCTAGCCCCACTGGTGGACCTCCTGATGGCACCTGGGTCTTGGCCACTGTGTGACACAGAGTGTTGGGCTGGGTGGGCCATTGGCCTGATCCAACATGGCTTCTCTGATGTTGCTATGTCTGAGGCAGTGATGCTCTGTCTTCTTGGTGCTTGGGGGGGGGCAACAGTGGGAGAGCTTCTGGAGTTCTGGCCTTGCTGGTGGACCTCTTGATGGCTCCTTGGTTTTGGCCACTGTGTGACACAGAGTGTTGGGCTGGAGGGGCCACTGGCCTGATCCAAAATGGCTTCTCTTATGTTCTTATATGCAGTGTTTCAACTCCCCCCCCCCGAATGGCATACCCACCACTCCTTGTCCTTCAAAGAGCAAAATATCCATCTGGAGAAATGAACAGTTGGCATTTCAATGTCCCCCCTCCACCAGTCACCAGAATACTCCCGCCACGGCCAGTCACCTCTCCTCTGCTGCCTTGGACATTCTCCTGGTCAGGGCCGGCGACCCTCTCTTGCTGCGGGCTAAGTACTTGTACTTGGGGTTCTGCTTGATCCAGTTCCGTAGGGCTTCGTAGGCTTCCTGCTGGTGGCTGGTGTTGGTGTAGCTCACTGCCAAGGCCATCAGGGCTTTCAGGTTGTTCGGCTGAAGCTCCAAGCACCTGAGCAGAGCGGGGGGTGGGTGGTGGGGGGAGAGCCGTATTAACGGGGCAGAACGACCTGATCCGGGGAATGCAAGGATGGGCTGAGCCTCCTGGAGTGAACAGTTCATTGACTCAGCCTCGCTCTCCAAGGTGGGGGCCGTGGCTGCTTTCGCACGGATAGTGCCCTTTCCATGCACTTAAACAACCGTTTGCCATCCGGTTGCAAATGACCGGTGAAATGCACGCGCACTTACCCCAAGCAGCCTCCAAGATCTGTCGAGATCGGGCTATACCATGCTACCTTTCCTACCAAAGACAGTACAGAAGAGCATCTATTTCACTTAATTTTATTTCGTCCATTGGGAGGGAAGGGGGTACGGTTATAGCCTGATCTTGTCAGACCTCGAAGCTGGGCGGGGCCACGGCCAATGCTCCCTCTAAGCTGCGGAGTCTTGGACGGGAGACCACCAAGGGAGGCTTTGCAGAGGAAGGCAACGGCAAAGCCACCTCAGCTTCTCACTGGCCTCGAGAGCCCCTTGCTAGGGGAAGCTAAGCAGGGTTGGTGCATGGATGGAAGACCACCAAGGAAGGCCCTGGAGAGGAAGGCCATGGCCAGCCACCTCTGCTTCTCACTGGCCTCGGGAGCCCCTTGCTAGGGGAAGCTAAGCAGGGTTGGTATATGGATGGAAGACCACCAAGGAAGGCTCTGCAGAGGAAGGCCATGGCCAGCTACTTCTGCTTCTCACTGGCCTTGAGAGCCCCTTGCTAGGGGAAGCTAAGCAGGGTTGGTGTATGGATGGAAGACCACCAAGGAAGGCCCTGCAGAGGAAGGCCATGGCCAGCCACCTCTGCTTCTTACTGGCCTTGAAAGCCCCTTGCTGGGGGAAGCTAAGCTGGGTTGGTACTTGGAAGAGAGACCACCAAGGAAGGCTCTGCAGAGGAAGGCAACGGCAAAGCCACCTCTGCTTTTCACTGGCCTCGGGAGCCCCTTGCTGGGGTCGCCAGAAGTCTGCCGTGGCTTCACGGCCCTTGACACACACATTTAGTTCATTTGTATCCTTCCATCTTTCCACCACGGAGCTCCACGAAGGGTCCCTAGATTCAAGTCCAGGAGCACCTCAGAGGCCTACGAGATTTTCAGGGTATCTTTGAGCTTTCGAGAGTCAAAGATCCCCTCGTCAGCTTTGACTCTTGAAAGCTCATCCCGTGAAAATCCTGCAGAAGAAGAAGAGGAGGAGGAGATTGGATTTATACCCCGCCCTTCACTACCCAAAGGAATCTCAGAGCGGGTTATGACCTCCTTCCCCTTCCCCTCCCCACAACAGACACCCTGGGAGGTAGGTGGGGCTGAGAGAACTCTTTCCGGAACTGCCCTTGAGAGAACAGCTCTGACAGAACTATGGCTTACCCAAGGTCATCCAACAGGTTTAAGTGGAGGAGTGGAGAATCAAACCCGGTTCTCCCAGATTAGAGTCCGCGCACTTAACCACGACACCAAACTAGCTCTCAAACTAGCTCTCTCTTGTTGGTCTGTAAGATGCTACTGGACCCTAATCTAGCTGGTCTACTGCAGATCAACACGGCTACCCTCCAAAAACGATCTTCATGAAAGGGTCCCATCCAGGCACGGACTAGAATCAGGCCTGAGAAGCTGCGGCCATGCGAATGCATCAGGTGGCTCCAGACCACGCCCCGGGTCTCCAGCTAGCCGGAAGTAGGCATCAGAGGCAGATGCTTGTAAAGGCTTTCAAGCCTGCTCAAAACGTGAGGATTCTTAGTTGGTTTTTCTCAGCCTCACTTTTTTTGGGGTATTTTTCATACGTGTGTGTGCGTGAGCGTGTGCGCACCTGAAAGTCATGGCGACCTCTGGTGACTGACCCCTACTGGGCCCCCCGGAGGATATTCAGAGAGGTGGCTGAATAAAGCCTGCCCCTGTCCTTCTGACTTGGTATTTCCAAGGAGGTCTCCCATCCAATTACTAACCAGGGCCGACCCTGCTTAGCTTCCGAGATCTGATGACCATCGGGCTTGCCTGGACTATCCAGGTCAGGGCAGCCTTGCTCACTGTAGGTGGCCTGCTACTTGATGGGCGCTTTACCCGTGCACATATTCCTAACTTGAAACATCCCCGGGAAGCTGCTACTCAAAACGCTGCCAATGTACGGAGCTTTGGAGAGTCTGTGTTTTGCAAGCAGAAACAGGATGCGATGCGGCTCGGTTTGCCGTAAAGGCAGAGAGAAGAGAAACCACCTTTGGGGGGCAGGGCACCGCATGATGGTTTCCTGCCTATCAGAACAGCGGCGACGGCAGCAGAGATCTCCATGTACTTAGCATGCAGCTGTCGGGATGAGTTCGGCTCAATTAAGGAGCACTTCTAATGAAGAGATAAACCTTTTGAGAGCGGATGAGCGCTGCGCATGCCAAACAGGCCTTTTATTTGCATAGCTCCTCACTGGTGTTTGCAGGGCTCTATTGACTCATGTTTCCTTTTGTTTGATTCGGTAATGGACTAGATTCAGTACGGCAAGTAACTGTAAGGAGGCAGGATTTGTTTCTTTCTTTTTTTTTAAGCGGAATTTTTATGCTAGGGCAACTTGCATTCCGCACCCATTGAGCTGTGGGCCCTGTCCGATATGCAAGTGCAGGTAATTTACATAAGACCTTTCTTTGTATAATTTATTCTGCAACTCTTAGTCCTGGGAAGGGGTAAGGAGTTACAAGGGGCATCGAAGCCACGCCAACTATTGCCTGAAAGTCCATCTCAATCCCAACCAACCACCCAGTTTCTATTTCACTCAATGTTGCCCATCCAGACAACGACCACACAAGTCTGCCTCCCACTAATCAGACCGTTGGTCCATCAAACTCAGTACTATCTTCTCTGACTTATCAGCAGCCCTCCAGGGTCTCAGGCAGAAAGGCCTTCCACATCTCCTGCTGCCTACTCCTTTTAACTGGAGGTGCCGGGGATTGAACCTGGGACCTTCTGGGGGCAAAGCAGAAGGTCTATCACTGAGCTACAGCACCTTTTCAGTCTGTTTTCTTAGCTTCAAAAGGCTATAAACCTGCTTTCTGAATAAAGAACATTAACATTGAGATTTCTAGGAAGCTGCATTTTATGCCAAATGTCAAACTCATCGGAAAATTTGAGAGATGCTGCCCTGACCTGGATAGGCCAGGCAAGCCCAGTCTCATCAGATCTCGGGAGGTAAGCAGGGCCGACCCTGACAAGTATTTAGATGGGCGACCTCCAAGGAATACCAGGGCTGGGAAGCAGAGGCAGGTAATATAAGCCACCTCTCTGAAATGTCCGAGCCCCACTAGGGGTCTCCAGAAGTCACCATGACTTCCAAGCTCGTAAGCACACACACACACACCAGGCTTCCCAAGTACTTACCGTGATTCGGCGGGGGACGAAGACGTCTTCGCAGGATCATTCTTGCGGGGACAACAGACGTGCCGCACCATGCCGTCGCCAGGAGACGCTCTGGTTATGGGGCCAGAAACTCGATGGTACCATCGGGTTTTCGGCCCCATTGCCAGAGCGTCACCCAGTGTCATTTCCTGGCGACGGCATGGTGCGTTACAAGGAGAAATGTTCCGGCTGGGGAGCATGTGTCCCCCGCTGGATTGCGGTAAGTACTTGGCAACCCTAACACACACACACACACACACACACAAAATACTTCCCCCCCCCCCAAGAATGAAAATTAAGGGATGCTGGTAACCCCACTCATATTTTTTGAGCTGGGCACCGAGAAGCAATAGCAGTGCTTTTCAACTGCTTTTGTTCCTGTGCAGTTTGAAATATTTCTCCCTCACCAAGCCCAGTGGTCAACAACAACGTAGCTGAAGAGAACTCTTGACTTCCTGATATCCTTTCTTTGGGTCCAACATGGCTATTAACATTGGATTGATCCCTGCAATTACCACCACCTACCTCTGGAGGGCAACAATAGCTCCTTGTTCATTTTCATTCTCGGCTTGGGTTATACCAAGATACTGCCAGGCCTGCAACAAAGGTAATCAGCAGGGGTAATATTTTTCTATTTATTGACAAAATCTTCCTTTTGTTATAGCGGTAAATTTCCCTTCGGCTTCACTGTGTCTAATGACCACTCTATTAAGTACAGCGTCCAAGAACCTGAATTCAACCAAGTGTTTCCATGAACAAAAGGATTTCTGCCCATGCAGCATGACTTTCTCACTTCCCCCCTCCTGCTGTGGTCCAAAATCCCACCCCCAAATCCCACTTATGGGGCACCGAAAACCCCCAGATACAGCATTAGGGCAGCCTCTGGGGCTGCAACTTGAAGTTGGAAATGAGAAAGTCGCTTTCCACGGAAATCCTTCCAACCTGTGGAAATGCCCCCGTGGATTCAAACCAAGATGAACGCAGCCAGATCATGGGGGGGGGGGGAGGGGGCAGGAAGGGTTGCGACAGTGCTTGCTTCTCGTGGCCCTTTCTGACACGCCCGGGGAAATGCTGATTGCCACTTTGAGGTCAGGCAGCCATTTTTCTCCAGGCCAGTTTGGCTGGTGATCCTGGATGTGTTTTTTTTTGTGTGTGTGTCCTCTTCTGGGCTTAGAGCAGGGATTGCAGGGGGTGTGGGTGGGGGAGGTATTTGAGAATTTCCTGCACTGTGCAGGGGGTTGTGCTAGAGGACCTTGGAGGTCCCTTCCAGCTCTACGATTCTGTGATTCTAAGATGCCTGATCCTTCAGCGTTTTCTACATATAGACCCACGAGCTCAAACGAGTCTTTACTGGTTCCAGAACACAACAGACGGGGATACCTCAGCGTCATGAGGGTCTTGCAGAATAGCAGCTTCCAGATACAAGATGGTGAGGGGCAGGTCCCCTTCTTTCAGTTTTTTCAGGGCTTCTTCGAAAGGGCCGGGCCACTCTTTGAAGGGGTTTTCAGTATGAAAATAATAGCCCTGGAACAGATAAGGAACAGGACGACAGTGAGAAGCCGCTCCAGCGATGGCGGGTGGTCCTAAACTTATTCATTACATAAGGACACAGGAAGAACCCTGCTGGATCAGACCAGGGGTCCATCCAGTCCAGCATCCTGTCTCACGCAGTGGCCAACCAGTTCCTCTGGAAGGCCAACAACAGGGCACAGAGGCCGAGGTCTTCCCCTGATGTTGCCTCCTGGCTCTGGGATTCAGAGGATTCGTGCCTCTGAATGTGGAGGTTCCCCTCAGCCAGCATGGCTAGTAGCCACGGATAAGCCTATCCTCCTTGAATCTATCTAATCCCCCTTTAAAGCTGCCTGTCCATATGGCCAACGCTACGTCCTCTGGCAGCGGATTCCACGTTTTCATCACTCTCCGTTATAAAGTAGTATTTCCTTTTGTCCATCCTGAACCTACTGCCCATCGGTTTCATTGAACGAGCTTGAGTTCTAGTATTTTGGGAGACATCTCTCTTTGTCAACTCTCTCCACCTCATGCATAATTTTATAAACCTCTATCATGTCTCCCCTTAGTCGTCTCTTTTCTAAACTGAAAAGACCCAAACTCTTCAGCCTTTCCTCCTAGGGAAGGTGCTCCAGACCCCTAATCATCTTGGTTGCAATCCTCTGTACTTTCCCCAGCTCTATAAGACCAGAAGAAGAGCCTGCAGATGCGAGACTTCGTCTTCTTTTGTTGTAAGCATGAAGACAAAAGGTCTTTTTAAATCGTGATCGCTGCTTCCAACAGCATCCTTCCACCTGGACAACCCAGGCTAGCCCAACCTCATCAGCAATCAGAAGCTAAGCAGGGTCAGTCCTGGTTAGTCCCTGGATGGGAAACCACCAAGGAAGTCCAGGGTTGCTACGTAGAGGCTGGCCATGGCAAAACACCTCTGTCAGTCTCTTGCCTTGAAAACCCTACGGGTCGCCGTAAGTCATCTGCGACTTGAGAGCACTTTCCACCACCATATCCAGGGGTCTTTTCGGGTCGGAGCCCTCCGGAGCGCTGCTCCGGCAGCCCGCGTGGCGGCAAGCCCCGCCCCCAGATCCCCCGAGCCCGTGCGAGAGCGCTGCGGCTCGGGGGGGGCCCTGAGAGCCCCGCCCCCCGGGCCCCCCAGCCACGCG